TACTGTTTATAGTTTAACTATCTCTTTTTTTTCTAGTCAGTTTTTTTGGCTTTTCCGAGTAATATATATTTATTTCATTTGTACTCTATTGAGGACTGTTGCGTTCTTCAGGAATTTTTGTGAAAATATTCGGATAAATAGCTTTGGTACTTTGCGATAGTGGTTACTCAATTTCTGAACAAATTCGCACTAATCTGGCATTGTCAGTAAGTGTATAAATTAAATAAATAAATTTCACTTTCTTCGGTGGTTCGTCTGTGTGATATATTAGTTTCCATTTGATTGAGATAAAGGAACGACAAATAGAAAGAACGAAGGACCATTTTTCTCAGTTTTATTCTTTCTTTAAATTAAGTTTTTCGAACGATGTTGATGAATACAAGCTTCTGAAACATACTTTGATACCAATTAGCCGTTGCTTGAGCATAATGGTTGTTTCTCTTTCAAGTCTTATTTCATAGCGCGAGGTCGAATCGACTTTTTACAAAATACATGAAACGAGCTTGTATGTATAATTACGTGGGCGAGTCTATTTATTCCTGTTTTGTGCTCTTTTATGTAAGATTGTTTCCTTATGACTAATTCCTCCTCCGGGGGTTTGTATTTTTCCGTATACATAATACATCAGCTTGAGAATTGACCATATTCTCATTTCGAAACGATCAAAGTTTGTGAGAGAAAAATACAAATCTATTTAGAAGGTAGGAGAAGAAGGTTCAAAAAATTTCACTGTTAACAATCGCCAAGAATGGTGTAAAGGATAAATAACAAGAGAAATAATTTGTATAAATTCGACACAAAAAACTAGTGTTAAAAGTCGGAAAAACTCCGGCGGAATACTTCGTCTATGTTTATTGCCTACTATAACATTCGAGATATCGCGTGACGGGTCTTTAAATAACTGAAACGAGCCCAAGTCCTCGACAGATTAATTCACAAAACATACTAATAACGTCACAGTTTTCAAAGTATCGAGAAGAATATTAAGTCCAGTAGCTGCCCATAGAAGACTTCGATTTGCTGGCTGCAGAAGGATGATCGTATATGCTGACAAACCGGTCAGGGCGCCCCTTGGGCCATATCGGGCCGCATTGCTCCAAGGACGTTTACCTCACAAAGTCCCTTGCTAAGCCCTAGGCCCTCGTTATTCTTTCATTGTCTTTAACTCAAAAGAACAATATCGGACAAAGACAACCAATAAAAACAAGGTTCTATTGAAATTGCTACTTTCAACTCGTCTCGTATTGAGATTTTTAATGTGTCTTGGCTATATTATTTATTGGCCGTGTAATTATTTCTCGAAATAAAGCATTGTTTCAAAAGATCAACAGCTTTTACGCCTTAAAGAAAACCATAAAATTTCCATTAGCCGGCAGAATCCATTAACTTGAACCTGAATTCAAGATTATTCACCCACTTACACATATAAACATAAAACTCCTACAAATCTAGGACTTTTTAATGAACCTAAATCAATTAAATTTTTTAATTTGAAAATAACAAGGATGCACGTAAAAAAATATTATTTAAAAATCCATTATATTTCGAGGTCCGATTGACCAAATAGCTTATTTCAATTAATTAATCTTTATGTGAGGTATTGGTTGAAATAAAAAAGCCAGCGTCACGAGCGGGATTCGAACCCACGCTTTGAAAAATGGCAAAAAGGAGGGAAAATTGGAAAGGTGGGTAGAGATGGGAAGTTGGTGTCCAAATGGATCGAAGTCACGATAGCTCGAGTGGTAGAGCAGCGGCACATTTAGCCGAAGGTCGGGGTTCGAATCCCGCTCGTGACACTGGTTTTTTTCTTTCAACCAATACCGTACATAAAGATTAATTAATTGAAAGAAGTTATTTGGTCAATCGGACCACAAAATGGTCCTTTTGGAAAAATGTGCATGCGAACAATTTTATTTCTAGACTTGAACAGGTAAACAGTTCTACATTTTACGAAACCATCATAATCCTGTTTTATAATTTGGAAAAATTGTTCCAAGTTAAACAACTCTGATTTGTTTGAAATCAAGGCTGGCGTAGCACAAGGCAGCTTCTTAGTCCCCGTGCTGTATCTGCAGTAACAAGTGGCCTACCACTGATGGAAAACATAACAGTCGCAACGCCGATAACACAGCTGCCCTCTCTGTCGAAAAATGTATCCATGCATCCACGCACTGACTGCAAATGGCAGTCAACGTCATCCATGAATGGACAGATACTTGGAAAGACAAATTAAATTACTTGAACTCCGTACATGTAAATTTCACGGATAGAAAATTAGAAGATAAACCGATCTTCAATCGTAAAGCACTTCCTTCCCATTATTCAAGACAATAGATAAAAAAAATTAAATTGTAAAGCACATATCAAAAAGAAAAAATGATTTCAAATACCGACAATTTTATTGGTTGCTAAGAAGGAAGGCTATCAATACAAAACAAAATAATGATTTATAATCACATTTTTTTTGAAGGGGCATCCGACAGCTAGGTCATTTCTGCCCCAAGGGGAAGTAAAATATTGCAACAAACCCTCAATACACATCACACCAATAAATACATTCTCACCTATTTGCATTGATCGCACTCATTCTGTTTGGTAGTTGTTGGTACTCAACATTCCTCCATCTGTGTTCCCTATAATAAACTAATCTAACTTGGGGTCGATGAGGTACTTGTATAAAATTTCCGCCATCAACCCAAATAATATACAAAATCTGAGGGTGGGGTGGAAAACCTACATTAACCCCTCCCATTCACACCAATAGATAAGTTCACTCATACAAGACCAAAAAACACAAAACGCATAATTTAATTTCTATATACAGTAAAAAATTCCCAATTCCCTTAAAAACGCGGAACAGGGGACCCTGAAACTCGTTGATGTGCCCGAGAACCCCTTTTAAATCTGGCGGCGTGCCACTCGCGCCCTGTAGGGAGTCAAGGCACGACACGTTTCGATTATGTGAGACACATCGAGCAACCTTTCTCTGCATAAGGGAACCTGCGAGAGGATTGGCCCATTAGTCCATGTGTCAACTGTGAATGACCTATTCTTAATCTGGCTAAAATTATTTCTTCTTTATGGCTCAGATCCTCGGGGGGGGGGGGGATCTGCAGGTCGTGATCTTAACACGAAGGAGCCTCTCGGATGACCCTGCCATTTATCCCTTATCATCTTTTTTAACAGCTCGTTCGGCGTCAGAGGGCCGATGGGGATCGCGATGGTCCGATCGGGAGGGTGCGCGTTCCGGCATTCGCCGCCGCTATAATCACATATTAAAACCTATATGGATTACCGTATACAACTTCGGGGGTGTGCCAAAAATAAACAATACAATCATAATACAACGGTTCCAAAATAAAGTTCTACGAGAAAAATGGTAGATGCTCCTCGGTATGTTCACAATAGCGACATATAGAGATCTTAACATACCGCACATCGACATGTAAGATACTTGTACCTACATCTTCAAAGAACAACCGCCTGGTACAATACATAGCACATCGTAAAAAGTTCGACTGAAAAGGAAAAAGCCTTTTTTGAATTAATCCTGTAAAAGTTAAGAGGTGTACTCAACTAGATAAATTGTCACTAATGAGCGGACTGAAGTGTACTACTAAATTAGCCATTGTAAAATTAATAAATGGCCTCATTTGACCACTTGTAATAAATCAACGCATTAATAAAAACAAATTATATAGAAAGAAAATAAGAAGAAGAATAAAATGCTAATCTTATTTTCACAGTCTTTGTTTTTCTTTTTTTAATTTAATTCCATATTCCGGTTTGCAAATCCAATTTCATAACATTTCCTCATAGTTTTAAGATACTGTGTCCGGTCAAGTCGTGATGAAAGGTCATAATCAAGAGTGAAAATCTTATCTGTATTAATCAAAACATTGTATTCCCCTAATAATTAAACAAGCAAATGATCTATTTCTACTTCTCGTTGTCGTACTACATATTCATTAGCATGCTTATGTTTCTACGCTGCTCGCCCTTGATCTTAGACAAATACACACATGGCATTCGTAAAACTTTTCTTGTTTTGTGTAATAAGTTGTTGAAATCGCAAGATTAAAACCGGATTGAAGGCAAATTTAAGTAATACAACATTATAATGTATATTTCTCTCGGCTGATGCTTTGTGAAATTGGGCTAATTTTGATAACAAACCTTTGCCTTTTTGAAACGGTGGTTTATGGTTGTTTAATGCGCAATATATAAAGCTGTAAATGACATAAAACTAGGCCAGGCTTTAAGATAGTGTCCAAGACATTTTCTGGCAGTAGAGATATAAGAATGGAAACAATTACTCCGTTTTTGTCTCACAATTTTCAATAGTAAAAAAAAAAAAACTGGACAGATTGTTTTATTCCTTTTTATATTGTAACCCGAGCGGATGATCGGCCGGTCGTGTAAAATCTAAACATTTCGTAACATTTGGGGTTGATAATCCGTAACGGAGGCGTAAACAATGGCCCCCTTTAAAAGGTTCAATGTTGAGAAACCTATTAAACGCATAAACAGAGCTTAACAAAGGACTAGGCGAATACTACGTGAATATAGGTCGGAATTTTTATACTGAATGTATCCTTAACCGAGCTTGACCAAGCGTACGCATCCTTCTTCATTAATGCTGTTGGAGAGCCCATCCGTGAAACATTACGTTTTTTTTAATAAAAAATTTATAGGTAATAATGCTGGGACAGTTAGAAGTTAATTCTTGCCTTAAAGTGTCCACTTGCTCGATTAACTTAAATAAGTTACGATTAATACATGCAGTGCAACCCATTGGGACAGTCATGGTGTCACTACTATTGTCCTCTTAAGGGACGTGCCCTGTAAAGCTTGATCTGATATCACATGTGAGGTCGTAGTTGTACCATATCAACCCTTTAGCGGTCGGAGACATATTAGCATTTAAAAAATTTAACCTCAAACTGAACTCTGAAAATAATCACGAGGAATGTGAAGTAATGAAAAAAGTCAGCACTTACGTCTGGATGGTCTTTGACTGGGACGAAGACTTTTTCCATGAGCGTGGTCGTCTCTCCTTCCGGTTCTGGAAGTACAAGGGGTTCCTTTTTGACGCCGTCCACCTGGAATAGGCTCGACCGGACTCTTCCGATCTCTGAAAAAAAAAATCTAATTAAAAATCGAAAAATTTTAAGAATCGATGTCAATTAACAAGTGATTGGGTACAATCTATACATTAAAACTGTTAAAATTGTTAATACTGAACGAAATACTTAAGCACATACGCCAATGTTTTGTCCTGTCAAATAGTATATCTTATAATATATAAATTACATAGAAAAAGTCTTTATCAATCTTGGTTTTGTTTCAACTTATTTTCACTTGGCTTTTCTATCTGTTATACATTCTCTTATCACTGAATATTTTGGCTGTTGGGTCGTTTCATGGCTTCATTCACAAGTATACAAAATTATTATAATAATGTCCTACCCTATTATTATGGGAGGTTTTACGTCGAAATAACTTCACAGTACCTTCTCAATTCAAATTATCAAAGAATATCCTGACGTCTTTATATAAGTGTATATAAATTACATATAAAAGTCTTTATGAATTTTGGTTTTGTTTCAACTTATTTTCACTTGGCTTTTCTATCTGTTATACATTTTCTTATCACTGAATATTTTGGTTGTTGGGTCAGTTCATAGCTACATTCACAAGTATACAAAATTATTATAATAATGTCCTATCCTATTTTTATGGGAGGTTTTACGTCAAAATAACTTCACAGTACCTTCTCAATTCAAATTATCAAAGAATATCCCGACGTCTTTATATATGTGTATATAAATTACATATAAAAGTCTTTATCAATTTTGGTTTTGTTTCAACTTATTTTCACTCGGCTTTTCTATCTGTTATACATTCTCTTATCACTGAATATTTTGGTTGTTGGGTCGTTTCATGTCTTCATTCACAGTATACAAAATTATTATAATAATGTCCTACCATATTATTATTGGAGATTTGAAATAACTTCGCGGTACTTTCTCAATTCAAATTATCAAAGAATATCCCGACGTCTGTATAGGAACCGAAGATCTATGACAAACAAGATAATTTTGCGTTAGGCCGGTCAAATTTTAATGATAAAAAATATTTTTCTTAAATTTTCCCAGGCAAAATAAGTTCTCCAAGACCTGTCAGGTTTGCCCTACTTAGACAAGCAATCTAACATCACAATGTCAATGTATCAGGCCATTGAGACAAAAAACAAAGGAGACCCCCTGGTTGTTTTTAATCATCTTTTGTGCATGAAAACAGCCCCAAGCTGGCTTTCTGTTTAGAACAATAAAGTTATGTTCAAAACTACATTGTTTCGTGCTAAATATGTTTATTTGTTGGAAATATGATTATTTCTTAAAGGAAAGTTATACTTCGTCTATCTGACACTTTCAACCAATCAAATTAACTGTCCACGGCGATTTAAGCATATTATTTTTTATGATAATTCGCTATTACATAGGCATAATGTGTGCACTCAATCAGTTGTCAAAAAGAATAATTTACTTTGTGGTTCAATCGAATGTCAATTCCGTCATGAGTCGTAAATCTCAAAGGGAAAATTCGATTCCTCATGATAGCATTGGTAATTTAAATTGCCTCTATGATTCATAAGCGTCGGATGCCCCTCTAAGGCTCATGAGATCACTACCATTTGCATAAGAGCACCGAGCGTATTCGGGCCGTGGTAAGCCGAGAGGAACCGCGGAGTGTTTACATTCTTTATATGACGTCATGTGAAAAAGGTCAGAAATAGCCTGCGTGAAGATGATCCACGGCTTATCCCGGCTGGCTTTTGTCCCGGCGATAATCTGAACCAATTCGGTCCAATATCATATTTGTTCGTGTTTTTTTGCTGGTCGGCTTCCTTTCCAGCATTGGCCGGCAACCTATCCAGACGGATAATCCAGGCCAAGATTTTTTCTTTCTTCTTTTAACTGGATAATCGCAGTCTGTAAAATTTGACAAGTCGAAACTAGAGACACATGCATTATTTATAAACAGTGAAGCTAGTGAGTCATTTTCTGCCCCACCTCCGGGGTTAGGGCGTGGTTTTAAAAAACTATTGTTTCCACCGCGCCCAATCTGTATCCTTGGAGGAGATTAAGTTTGTTTAAATATTTGTTTTCCCACACTGACCACCTAAAGTTGAAATTTTAAAAATCTCTGTGTTGTACCATCATTTACAAAAAATGAATCTACATACCCACCCCACCTTCATCATTGATTTAAAAGTCTGTTATTACTTATTGGAAAACAGCAAATAGTGGACAAAAAGCCACTAAAATAAAAAATCTGAGAAATGTAATAATCAAGTAAATTAATCTTTACTGAATGTATTAACCACTTTAGTGTATATATATTTTATATTTTCAACCAGTAACCAGTTCAAAAAAAAGATAATAGCCATTTCTTAAATAAGCAACAGTAAAATTCTATTATTTGATAATTGATTAACTATTTTATAACATTTCCTATATCATACAATTATAAACTAATTTTCTCACTTTTACATTACATCTTTCTGTTTTCCTTTTTTTTAATCCAATCCACACAAGAAATTTTTTTTATTTCAATTTATTCAAAATTTCAATGGTTATCTTGCATATACAATAAACGTATAGTAAACGATAAGAAAAAGACTCAAGTAAATTCTACAGAATACTATTTAAAAAAATAAAGAACCAGTCAAGAAAATTGATGTTAAAAAGACAAAAAAATCGTATGTATGCTTGGAACTCAGAATCAAATCTAGGACTCATTCGGAATACTTAATAAATTCCTTAACTAAACTTCATTATTATTCATTTTGCAAGTTAAACTGTTTTTAGAGTGATGGGCGATGCCCGGCACTCTCGTTAATAAATTACATTCACACAATTCATTCACATTACCTCAGGTCACTCGATATTCCTCGGGATATTTGGCAATACGCTACATTCGCGCTAATAAATTACAGTCACACCCAATTCATTCACATTACCCCAGAGCACTCTATATTCCTCGGAGTATTGGTCATACCTCCCATTCGCGCTATTACATTACATTCAGAAGCCAGGATCTAAAAGTCGTTTATTACTTATTGGAAAAGAATTGTGAACAAAAATGTCACCAAAATAAACTAGGAGGTCAATCTAAAATTGATAAAAAAAAGTTTAATATTACTCTGAACTTAACATATGAACAAACAAAAAAATTATATGTAAATGTTTTATATTTTTAACCGGTTTACTATGAGTTGAAAAGGACAATAGCAATTTCTCAAATAAGCAACAGTAAAATTATTTTATTTGTTAATTAAATAACTCTTTTATAATATTTACAGTCATAGAATTTTATACTAATATTCTCACTTTCAGATTTAGGATTTATTCACCATAGATTATATCTACGATTTATTTTTTTATCAATCCTTGGTACTTGATAAAGTAACAATGGCAGGCGAAAGGAGATGCAACAGAATACCAATTCTTACAACAACAAAAAGAAGCCGGTCAAGAACATTGATTTTAAAAAAAGACCAAAAAATGTATTGCTGCTTGGACCTTAGAATCAAATCCAGGAAGTTTTCAGACAAAATACTTATAAAACTAGTCTTGTTTTCTTTATTAGCCTTCATTTTACTGTTAAAGTTTTTTTTTTTATTAAGGAAAACATTTTAATTTTTAATGAACCATTTAACATGACCAAAACTATCATTTCTCTATGTTCAACCTTTACATACATGTTAGTTGATTGTTTCGCCATTACGTCTGTGTGGGTTTTGGTCAATAGCGTCCATTTATTTCATCCATTTATTTACAAAACTTTGAAATAAACATACACAGGAAGAATGCCGAAACCCGTTGCAGAGAAAACCAGCGATAATGTGCGGACCAGGATGAATATCGCATAATCCACTTGTACGATTCAATGCATCTTACAACTTACAATTACCTATCGTAAAATAGTTGAATATGTTGTTTATCAATAGTTAACCTTCCGGTGGCATCAATTAAAGCTCATTGATAAGGGGGAACTTTTCTGTAAGCGCCAGTATTTTCAGAGGCAAGAAACTTACTTAAAACTTTAGGCAAGAACTTTGGAAACTCGTAAAATTTTGTTCTAATTTGTCTGCTTAACATTAAAATAAAATGACAAATGAATCTTATAGAATTTTGTATGTATGAAATTTAAAATAGGATTAATGCTTTATGAGATAAGGGGTCTTTTATGGGAAAAAGTTAAGAAACGGTTGAGGTAACACGAAAAGTGTAAATTCATTTCAATTAATTAATCTTTAATATAGGTTTTGGTTGAGATAAAAAGTCATCTCAACTTTCTTTGCATAAACATTAAAATAAAACTGGTATGAAAATATAATTATAAATAATTTCTTTCATTTAATTAATCTTTATGTAAAGTATTGGTTGAAATGAAAAAACCAGCATCACGAGCGGGATTCGAACCCACGACCTTCGGCTAAATATGCCGCTGCTCAACCACTTGAGCTATCGTGACTTCAACCCGCGCGGACACCAATTCTTATCTCAGCCCAATTCGAATTTTCCCTCCTTTTTGCCATTTTTCAAATTTTGTGTCATCTATTCGATTCTCGGCGACAAATGAAATGGCCATTGAGAGGGTTAGTGAAGTTATACTTCATTTTGCTTATTACAACTATTAGGTTTCGTGGTCCGATTGACTTGTGTATAATATATTGATCACCCTGTATAAATATTTTTGTGTGTCTGTTTGACAGGAAAAGGATAAAAACCGAAGTTAATAATATGAACTTTTTGTTCATTATACTAATAGAAGGGGAAAGAATAGAAGTAGAATTATTGATTAACAACCATATAATTATTGGCTCTTTCATAGATGCACTGCTGTGGGAACAACGAACAAAGAATAGAATGACAATGGATACACCATATAGTGCTATATTATACATATAATAACATACATGGAGTTATTAAAAAATTGAAGATTTGTGCATGCTATAAATAACAAGGCTGGATTCTCAGGTTTCCTTTTCATATTGATTTATGGCAATTCGTCATGGTTTGTTAATTTCTTTGATTTTTGTTTGTCTCGCAATCAACACTAACA